TTCTATTGTTCTTCTCGCATTCACCTCAAAATAGAAAAGAAGTATATGCATAGTCGTTAACAATGGGAAGGTACGACGGTATTGTAGATACAAGTACAAACTCTTCCTTTGCAAATCTAAGAACTGAGACGCAAGACGAAGATAAGATCAGGACTCGGTGCTCCAAAGGGCAAGCTGGAAAACGTTCTTTGGAAGAAAAGTAAAGGGAGAATGGTAGAGTCTGGGAATCTAATAGATTGCAGTTCTTTCTTTTGTTTTCTCTTTCCTCTCTTCACTTTAGAACTCTCTCCAAGCCTTGCCATAAGAGAACGCTGCTTCCTCCGAGACAGTAGGCAAGCAAAGTTATATAATTTTGGTGCATCGAACTATGTTGCTGGAGATGTATGCTCTACCAATGGCTAGTGTATCATGTAACGATTACTACTCGCAGTGTATACGCTATCCTTCGCGCTGTATTTGCAGCCCGTCTCTTATAGAAACTTGTGATGTAGCCTTGAACATACGGTCTAAGCGCATGTTTGACGGTGGATACATGCGCGGAGCGAGCATGTACGAAGGTAAAAGGTAAGAGCTAACGACACCTTCGAGCAGACAGTTTGAACTGTACTTCAGATAAAGAAGTCAACCAATAGTCAGTCGCTCTTGCGTCGGATCAGTCCCTCAAGCGCTTACAAAACGCAAATTTTGGAAATGAATTTGTAGCCGATTTATGCTAGAATGAGGTGAAACCGCAAGCGGTCAGTAATCAGACAAATCAGACAATGAAGACAAGCTTGTGTAAGACACTTCTTGTAAACTTGACTTCTATATGTTGTTTTATGTTTGGTTTACATTCTTTTAACTTTTTGTAAAATGTGAGCTCAGTCTTCTTTTTAGGTGGCTTGCTTTTTGGTTCAAGTATGTTGGTTTCTTTGGATATATGTGTATTTGTAATTAATTTTGCCACACTTTCATGCCCTTGAAGTATGCTGTTTTGCTACATGGTTGTCTTCCTCCTCTTTATGTAATCTTTACTTACTCGTACATCGCCAGTATTTACTGATACGATGTACCAGTAGAAATATTGGTACGATGTGCGTACATTTTTGTATCACAGTGATTAGGGATAAAGCAATTCCAATAAATGTAGTTCTGTAAGTGTCTTTTGTGTACTAACAGTAACATTTCCAACTAACTATTTAAGGAACAGAACTACTGCAGTAAGATATGCTAGGATATTTTTGGTATTCAACAAAATCAAAATCAACAAATTTCTACATGGTTATCTTCCTTCTCATTCATTCGATCTTTACTTAGCCGTACATCGTATTTCTACTGGTACGGTGTACCAGTAGAAATATTGCTACAATATACATTTCTGTATCATAGTGATTAGGGATAGAGATTTTCAATAATTATTATGTTCTGTAAGTGCCTTATTTATACTATTAGTGATGTTACTAGCTAACTACTCAAGGAACTGAAGTACTACATTCAACAAAATCAGGGGCGGTATAATCTAATTAAAATGGATGAGGGTTGATTGCGAATCTGTTCGCTGTCATTGCCCTCCTTGCTTGTAGTCTGAATGAACGGGACTATCTTGGAGTAGCTTTAGATGAGGAAAGCAAAACTTGGTAAAGTGCCACTGATCGGGTAGTTTACATATGACAGCAAGTGTGAGAATTTTTTTACAAAAAGAAAAAGTTTTATTTTTAAATGACCGGCAGACTCCTAGTTTTATTGCTAGTCCAGTTTTGTCAGTAAACAAGGAGAAAATCGAGGTTGCAGGTTAATCGCAAGTTGTGCGGATGTGGTGAAAAAGTGCGGGAGTGAAAGGCACAGAGTAGCAGTGCTTATTTCGCTCAATTGATATAAAAGACTTTTTGCTCGAAGAAGAGGCTGAGGCGTTCCTACATAGGTGGTTGGTCCGCCGGATCAGGCACCATTAGCTAGGAGGGCGACGCATCTCGAAAAGCATTTGGATAAAATATCGCTTTCTCACTCAGAATAATCATGCAAGATCGCAAACAGCAACTCTTGGAACTGTCTACATGGCTAACTCTGATAAGAGTGGGGTTTCTGCGTAGTGCTTTTTGCAGAGGATCGCTTATCGAAGCATCATTCCGTCAGCTTATGCAATGCTGCCTTTTTACCATCTCGATGAAGATGTACTGCATAATTAAAGTGGTGATAGAAGTCAATAGGGAGCAGTATTTCATCGTGCAGGAATACTCTCAAAACATGTCTTGTTAAATAGCATATTTTAGCTTGGCGCTGTTGTTGCGGCATGAGGAGCATAAAGTAGGATCGTGGGTTTGATCCCGCTGAGTACCAATGGTTTTGCAACGCGAATCATCTTCTCTACATTCACAAAGCACACGTTTGTACATCATTTCAAGTTGAGCCTATGCATTAAATGTGGCGGATGGTTGTTAACGTATTTCGGCTAAAACACTACCTCCCCAGGTCTACTGTCGTGCTCGGACGACAATATTGAGCCACAGAAATTTGGCGCAAATGACTTATCGAAAGTCCTGTCTTTTGAAAGTCATGTTGTGCGCCAGATGTCATTGGCAGATGTTGATAACTGTAAGTTTAAATGTTTCGTCACTGTTGTTTGCGATCGATCGCTTCACTTTGTGTTGTAGGGACTGTATTTAGTTATGTTGTGACTTGTTCTGTCCCTATATTTTGCCAGTGCTATATGTAATACTCAAGATAGGGTATACGTCACGTCTTATGTTGTTCAACCAATGTTATACCACTACTTCAAGCAGTGTTGTATATGGCAATTGTATAGGAGGCCTCTCAGCCTTTTTGTGCATAAACAGTTCACCGTCAAGGCGTTCCACAAATTAACGATCAGGATCAAGAACAAAGAAGAAGCCGCCAGTGATCAAGGACGAAGAAGAAGCCTTGATCAAGCAAGGGCTGAAGAAGATTTCTACAACGATCAAGGACGACAGGAAGAAGAAAGACGCCGTTGCCACCGGTCTAAAAAAGTCAACTATGCCGAAAGTTGTAGAAGAGCGGTGTGGTCATGATTCTCACCTGGAGAAGATCCTGACTGTCGTGGTCGAACAAATTAAGATGCAGCACGACGAAATAAAGTCAATGTTCGCTACCCTTAGCCGCAGTCAAGGCGGTACCGTCCAGGACGCCAGCAAAGATCAATACGATCAGTTGAGCAGGGACGTGCAGAAATTTGCCTCAGACGAAGAGACAGGTAAGGTGCATTCGCCTAATGGTTTAACAGGTATGGACCGGTCATACGCGTCGACTTTGTTGCCGGACAACAAGAAGCGCGATCTGGTCCTCATGAAGCTGAATGAGGAAGCATATCGGAAGTACGCCCATGAGGTCCTACCTATGCAACCACACGAACTGGATTTCGACGCAACGGTCGCGAATCTCCAGAAGATGTTTTCCTCTAAGAAGACATTGATAAGGAGAAGGTAGGAGTGCCTTAAGGTCACTTGTCCCCGGCTGACACCAACGTACATGCCGTTTCGGGAGGACGCCAACACAATCAAGCGAATGAATGAGGACGTGCAACTTAAGGAACTCGACTACACGGCAACGAAGACGTTACAATTTGTAGTGGGTCTTCGGGATCCCACACTGCGGGAAATGCGCCTTAGGATGATTCGCCGTTTGGACTCACGTGCGGATGACACTCCGCTGACAATCGAAGATCTGGTCAACGAATGTGAGAATTTCACGACGTTGAAATTGGACAACACGAACATGGAAGGAACACACGACATCCATGCTGCGTAGAAGAAGAAGATAAATTGCTTCAGCCGTGGAGGTCCACATTTCAGAAGCAAATGCCCACTCTCCGCCTTCGCTGGTCAGAAGAAGCAACGCAGAACAGGGTTCTAGCCCTATGGTCGCAGAAGACAGTGAAAAACGTTGTCACGTTTGACGCCGAGACTGCAAGGACTTATCTCGACGTCGTTATCAATAGATGTTCGTTGCAGTCAGATGCAGGTACTGATATAACTTTGATATCACGCCGAACCTGGAAGAGAATTGGATCGCTTACCCTGAAATCTTGCATCGTACCTGTGAAAACGGCAGACGGAACGCCGATAGAGATCGATGGTAAATTTTCCACCGACTTTGCCTTAGGGGTCGTGTTACAGGAAAGAAGTTTCAAGGAAATGAAACATGCTACGTCACCGAAGGCGCGAATCTATTAGGATCAGAGTGGTGCATCCAGTTGCCGGCCTACAAGAAGTTAAAGAACAAGTACCACTGCCGCAAGGAGACTCGAGAAGAAGAGTTTCGAGCAGAGGTCGTCGCATATTTGAAAAAGCAGTACGCCGAAGTTTTCAAGTGCGGACTGGGAAAACGCACGAAGAGCAAAGCAAAGCTAAGCTTGAAGGAGCAGGCAATTCCAGTCTTCAAGAAAAAGCGACCAGTTCCATATGCAACCGCACCGGAATGGAGGCAGAAATCGATCGGTTGGTTGCCAAAGGAGTGATTTCTGCAGTAGAACACTCAGAATGGGCTGCCCCAGTAGTAGTCGTCGAGAAGAAAAACGGAAAGATTCATTTATGTGCGGACTTCTCGACTGAACTAAACGATGCATTGCAGCTGCGTAAGCACCCATTGCTCACTGCTAAGGATGTGTTCGCGAAGCATAATGGAGGGCAGCTCTTCACCCAGATTGATCTGGCAGAAGCATATCTGCAGGTAGAAGAAGAAGAAGCATCAAAGGAGATGCTGACAATAA